GGGGTGAGCTGTGTGGCAGTGTGGTGTGTCCCTGAGGCTCCTGGGCCACACACGCCTCCACCGCCAAGTCTCCAGGTGTGGACTGTGGAGCGGGAGGTCTCACAGAGGTTCTGGAAGTTCTGACTGGACAGGTATGCACAGCACAGGGCGCCTGAAACAGGGTGAGTAGCAACCACAGGCAGGGGTCACTGCACCAGAACAGGCACACAGGCAGGGTGACGGCAGCCAGCCAGCAGGGGACAGTGTCTCTGTTCCAGGAGAATCTCAGGCCTTTCTCTCCCGTGCAGGACCTGGGCAGCACTGCTGCTGTGGGCTTCGGCCCTGGCCAGTGGAAGGGAGGGGAAAGGAGACGGCCTTGGGCTGCCCCGCCCCATCCGGAGAAGATGGGTCCTGTCAGCGAAGCACCCGCAAAGACCGTGAAGCGCCAGCCCAGCACCCTGACTAGTGGCAGGGTCACGTGGGTGCGGTAGAGGAGCAGCTCCTTCCTGAGGTTGAAGTCGGCTTGCAGGAGGCCCAGCAGCAGCAGGACCCACAGTTGTAGCCGGAAGTGCAGCAGAGCACGTGCGCCCAGGGACCACAGGCTGCCCTGTCTCTCGGGGTATCAAAAGGACACGCAGGTGGGAGCTGGGGGCTGGGCGGTGCACGAGGCTGCTCTACTTGGCCGCAGGCTGCTCAGACTTTCCTGCTTCCGGGCCGCCGATCTGGGTGACTGGGATGGTGATCTCCACCGACTGCGTGGCCGGCTTGGGCAGCGACGCTTCCACGGTGAGCGTACCCTCAGGGGACAGGGAGGAGGAGACCAGCGTGGGGTCCACGCCAGGGGGCAGCGTGTACTTCCGGGTGAAACAGCGGGCGAGGTAGTCGTGCTCATCCTGTCGCTCTTCGTGTTTGCCCGTGATCTCCACCACGCCGTCCTTGGTCTTGACCGTCAGCTCGGGCGCATCCTGGGCCCTTCTCCTTAAGGTGAGGCGGTAGCACTGAGGGCTTTAAGCAGGGGCATAAGGTGACCAGATGTGGGCCCACTGGAAGCCTCTCCACCCTGTTACTGGTGATCTGACTGGCAGCATGAGACCAAGCTGGGCAGGTGCTGCTGGCTCTGACCCGGCTCCTCCCTGCTCCCTATGCTTGGCTGAGAGCCCCTCCCAGGGACCAGGGGACACTGGTGCCAGGACTGCTGGCCCCTGGGAGAGTTCTGTCAGGCCTCAGGACCCACAGAGAGAAGACACTTCCTCCTCTCTGGAAACAAAGCTGCTCAATAGCTCCCTCAGTCCTTACTCCTCAGTGTGTTCAGGTCCCACGCACGGGGCCAGGGCAGGCCGACTGGGCCCCTCTTCCGTAGGGGTCCCGGGGCTTGGTGCTCAGAACACTCCTGTGAGGAGCAGAGTCAGAATTGGACCTGTTAAGTGCAGCTGTCAGCCTGAAGCCTGGATGCTTTTCTTCTTTCCAAGGAGGCTGCCTCGGCCAGCTCTCATCTAGGGGCTGTGAAGAGTCATTGGCTCCAAAAGCACTTTCATCAAAGTAGGATTTTTAATAAAGGAAAAATAAAAGTAACGCAAAGTTGAAGCACAATTTAAGAAGCCGGAGCTTCTATCCACCCATGAATACGGGGAGCACAGGAGCTTGTCTCGGATCTCAGAGTTCTATGAAGTGTCCCATCCTGTCTCTCTGTGGAGAGCTGGACATAAAATAGTAACTTGGTCAAATGTAGCACTCTAGTAATACAATACTCTAGTTAATAATTTGGGTAATACAGTGCTGCAGGCAGTTTTCTGTATTTAACCAATGCACTAGAACAGGGCAGCGTATTTATGTATAGAATTATGTACCTCAGCAGCAAAGCTATGGCTTACCAAGATTACAAAAATATTCCTTTATTTCAAACCATACCCCAGACAAATGATTGTTTTTTTTCTTACCTAGTAGGTGCCTTGTCTGACTAGAGGCCACTTTTGTTGGTGTTCCTAATGAAGAGGAGCTGCCTGAGCTCAGGTGGGCCAAAGTGCTAAAGTAGTGAGGTCTGCAGAGTGCGGAATGAACTTAGGAAGCGCAGAACCATGAAGCATCAGCTCTCCAACTCTCCCTCACTCCCTGAGTCACAGAAAAACAGCTATGTTTTCCAACTTTTTACCCAGAAGTTTGGAGAGAAGAAAACCTCAAGAGAAGTGTGATTTCTCCATGGTTTCTGGAAAGAAGTTATCTCATAGGTGCAGATACAAAATGATTGAAAGGTGGTTCCTGGGAAACACATGGATTGATACACAGACATTTTACTAAACTGGACAGAAATTTAGGCTGACAATTAAGATTTTTGTCTTTCCTCTTTCTGTAACTCTTTCTAAATAAATAAATCTTTAAAAATTTAATCTGGACAGTGCTGTGGCTCAATAGGCTAATCCTCCACCTGCGGCGCCGGCACACAGGGTTCTAGTCCTGGTCAGGGTGCTGGATTCTGTCCCGGTTGCCCCTCTTCCAGGCCAGCTCTCTGCTGTGGCCAGGGAGTGCAGTGGAGGATGGCCCAAGTGCTTGGGCCCTGCACCCCATGGGAGACCAGGAGAAGCACCTGGCTTCTGCCATCGGATCAGCGCGATGCACTGGCCGCAGTGCACCAGCCACAGTGGCCATTGGAGGGTGAACCAATGGCAAAGGAAGACCTTTCTCTCTCTCTCACTGTCCACTCTGCCTGTCAAAAAAAATTAATCTGGAGGTTTCACATAGCAATCCATTAAAGTGGTTATTTACATTTTGCAAAAATATTTGAAACTATAGTTACGTTGTCAAGTTTCTTCACATTATAAGAGGTGACTTTGAAAGCTGGTCTCAGTGTAATCTTTGCTACATTATTAATATACAGTTTTCAATCAGTCATTTAGCTGTGTCTGTGCAAAGGGATTTTGTAGAGACTGTTAATATTTACAGTCAGTTAACTTGAAGTAAAGGAGAGATCCTCAATAATGTGACTGGGCCTTGTCCTATCAGTTGAAAGTGTTAAGAGAGAAATCGTCACCCTAAAAGAGGAGAATTTCTGCCTCAAGACTGCAGCATCCAGTCCTGCCTGAGTTCCCAGCCTGCCCAGCTGCCCTGCAGACCCCCACTTCACAGGCTCCACATCACAGGAGTCAGTCCTTTGAAATCATGAATCTTGTATATCACACATGTCTGTTCTATTGCTTCTGTTTCTATGAAAAACTCTGACACAGTGGACAAATATATTGCATCATGATACTATTAAGAACAGAATGAAAGAAATGGTCAACGTAGCAAAAGAAATTGACTGCTTGGATTTTTAAACAACCATCTTAAGAATAGATATGTGGGTTGAGGAATTAGATAAGCCATTTTTAAAGATTTATATATTTTATTTGAAAGTCAGAACTACAGAGAGAGGAGGAAAGAGGCCTAGAGAGAGGAGGAGAGAGAGAGAGAAATCTTCCATCTGCTTGTTCACTACACAGATGGCAACAATGGCCAGAGCTGGGCCAGGCCAAAGCCAGGAGCTTCTTCTTCTGGGTCTCCAATGTAGGAAGCAGGGGCCCAAGAACTTGGTTCATCCTCTGCTGATTTTCCCAGGTCATTAGCAGGGGGCTGGATTGGAAGTGGTGCAGCCAGGACTCGAACCAGGCTGCAGTTTTACTAGCTACACCATGCTGCCATTAGGGTTTTTTTTAAGATTTATTTTATTTATTTGAAAGACAGAGTTACAGAGAGAGGTAGAGACAGAGAGAGAGAGAGGGGTTCCATCTGCTGGTTCACTTCCTACATGGCCACAAAGACCGGAGCTGCGCCAATCTGAAGCCAGGAGCCAGGAGCTTCTTCCAGGTCTCCCATATGGGTGGAGGGGCCCAAGGACTTGGGCCATCTTCTACTGCTATCCCAGGCCATAGCGGAGAGCTGGAGCAGAAGAGTAGCAGTGAGGACTAGAATCAGTGGCCATATGGGATGCTGGTGCTTCAGGCCAGGGTGTTAAGCCAGTGCACCACAGTGCCGGTCCTGCTGCCATTAGTTTTTAAAGAAGTAATGCAATACGAAAAGAATGCTAAAGTTAATTGGTTATTGCCAAGCACACATTTTTGGGTAGAATGGAGCAATAATTACATTGGAGAAAAATACATGGCTTTGTCAGTAGTGAAATATATCTTATTCTCCCTAAATGAAAATTTACTGGAAAGCATGGAAAATGTCTCAGAATGCTTTTCATAATAAGTACACAATAAATGATTAGAGAATGAAAAGAGTAATAAAGTTGCATGCTGAATATTAGTTATTCCACACATTATTGACTAGATGTCTTCTATATTCACCATTGTGCCAAGTTTTAGGAGTACAGGGGTAAGCATAGGGTCCTTCTCTAATGGAATCCTGTGGTGGAATGAGGTGAAAAGGTCATATCAAGATGGCCACTATGGTGAAAAGTTCATGCCAAGATGGCCACTGAGGTGAAAAGGTCATGCCAAGATGGCCACTGAGTGAAAAGGTCATGCCAAGATGGTCACTGACACAGAAACTGCCTGGCAACAGCTGTGATTGGATGGCTTCAGAAACCACATG